TTGGAAGATTTCCGTCAAAGAATACAGACCGCCCGTCAGGAGGGGAACAACTTACTGCGTGAGTTATCTCCACGGTCATCTAATTCAATTACTAATAAATAATTCAATTACTTTGGAACTAGTATTTCCGTACTGGTGTTGCAAAAATTTGAATGTATGGGAGGGGTGATGGGTGAATCCAAGAGAGGCTAGCCATGTCTCCAACCAAAGCTATGGGTTCTCGTGTGGGTGAAGCGATTAGGAATGTGGGGTTATCACTCGCCAATAGACAAACGCTCAACTGATTTGAGTAATTGCAGAGAGCGTTAAATTTTTCTTTAGTTTAGTATTATAGAGCAACAAATTTTCATGGAACAACGTGACTTTCTGAAAGCGAAAGACATTCGACTTGGACGACAGTTCCTTATTCTGCTTGCCAATGGCGCTGTTTTTGCTACGCAGTTCTTTGCGATCAGGAAGATGGTCGATGTGAGTTTAATTTCGGAAATAATCGGAGATTTGACTGCCTTCGCCTGCTTAAGCTAGTGCGGAAATGATCGCAAAATTTGCGAATCTTGCAATGATTTTTGAATCTTTCAATACTCGTTTCTCGTCGTCTCTTCATAAATCTAACTTTTATTTAGAAACGATATCAGCTTCGCCATCTTCGTTGCATTCTGTTCATTTTTAATATATTTCTTCGTATTTTTGTATGCCGGCCTCTATAGAACCACTGTTTTCTCTAGCCGCACTATTTTGAGGACAATAATCGAACAATTTGTTGTGGTCATGTTCTAAAACATTTCCAGGTCAACTATCCTGGCCTTTCAACTGGTGGTACGGCATGGTTTACGGACTTAACGATTGCAGATCCGTACTATGCGTTACCATTGATCAGTGCCGTGACGATGGGTTTAGTAACTCGGGTGAGTATTTCCATCATCTTGCTATTCTTCATGGTTCTGTTAGATCTTAGGGCAGTTGTGAACTGCAAAATACATGTGGCTAATGTACTGCGTTGTTCTTAAGGTCGGGATTGAAATGGGCACTTCTTCTGATCAGATGACGCCACTGATGCGAGTAGGGATGCAATATGCTCTACCAGTCGTAATTTTCGCTGTTAGTTCGCAGTTCGCTTCGGTAAGTCTAGTTTTCGGATCTCAGATTGAGGACGGAGGGTGTTTTGATGCATTAACTTGTGCGAATTGCTCTTATTCCATTTTTTGGAGCGAGAAGAAGAGCGCAGCATAGAGCGGTTTTCTTCTACGAAACGGAAACTAAATTAATACATACATTCCAGCGACGGCCCGGTCCTTTTTCACCTTCTTTCGGGAAGATTTTGTGGAGCGCCGCCGCCTCACCTTCATAACCGTGGATTTTGTTTTGTAAATGAACAAAAACATGAATGTCACAAAATAATTTCTGCAATGTCCAATGCGTAAAGATTATCTAACATATATACAGTAGGATTTCGATCAAAACGATGAGTAGTGGTAATGAAAAGGCAACATTTATTCACTTCTCGCAGTGGAAGTTAAAAGTGTTCTCAATTCGATTGTTTCAATTTAACCACTTAATTTTCCATTTATAGCGCTTTGTCTTTACCTCCAGCACTCTTTTCATTCACATGTTCACGGCAATAAGACGAAAAAGAGAAATTATCCAAACCAAAAATTTCGTACTGTCCAGAAACTCTCCTAGAGTGAAGCTTATGTAGCCTTTAGGTGAATCCTATCGTTTATGGTTACGTATTATTCGCTATTTAATTCGTTAACATCAGAAATACCTAAAAATAACGATATTAGCGACCGGCAAGCGATTATTAGCTGGCAGCCCATGTGGGCTGCCATCGTCCCACGAGCACATTTTCTTGGCAGGCCATATGAGCCGGTGCCGGCGTGAATGTGTTAATATATCTGAATTTTATAGCACACGAAAGATAGGTCTATGCACAGAAGGGTACATGTGATGCTGTAGTTCGTGCCCCCTACAATAGTTCCAGTCTTCGCAGGAGAAAAAAGTACCGGTATCGCCTTTTGAATCGAAGTCGAAATGGATCACCCACTCCGGAATTTTTTTCTTTGGCGAAAATTAGGAATGCCGTAGGCGGCACCAACTATTAGGTCGGTCCATAATTTTTGAGACACTTTAGACCGTCGTCTCTGCCGAGAGCGATTGGCACGCGATGCGCAATTCGCTTGCGAAGTGTACAACCGCGGGCGGGGTTGACCCCGCCCAATCGAGCTGTCTGCCTCGTGGGGCTTTATATGGCATTCTTTGGCCAGGATTAAAATTTCTTTCGAAACCTATTTCCAAGCCTCTTTTCTTATGAATTTACGTTAGGTTTCGCAATGCGCTAAGCAAGCATCGTAAGTCCTAAGCCAGAAACGCTGAGAGCCCGCTGCTTTCTCAATCCACGGTTACCTTTACTAAGGGTTCCCTCCTTTTATTTCGAAGATGATCCACACTCCAACCACCCGTGACTGGCAATCTCGATGCTCTATCCGGCGCCATTGAAAAGGAATCTGAACAAAGTGAGCGCTATTTGTCAGAGCGCTTTTGGTGTGACAAGGTGAGAGTACTGAGACATCTCGATAAAGTCGCTAAGGTTATATGGAGTTTGTCTCTCACATGCTCTGAGCCCGAATCAGCTCTAAACCCGATCTGACATCATCATGTTCCTATTGGTTTCCCATAGTTCCTTCGAATGACCATCCATCATACTCATCGGTGATGTGGACTGGGTGCAGTGTGCTAACAAATCCACAAGCCGCAGTAGCTTAGCTCAAACGATTCGGGAGTTCTGACAGCAAAAGCCCAACTCCCTCTGAATTCTAACTTCCTGAGTCGTTGGCGGAATACGAGAGGGCTTTGCGCTGGGAACCGGCACCAACTAATACCAGTGTCAGTGATGAAGATAATCGTGACAGCTTGATGGCAACGCCTTCAACTTGAAAGCAAAGTAAGACAAAATCTATTTTTTCTGAGGTCGTTCGAGCCCACCTTGCTAAGAAAATTCATAAAAAATTGGAGACTCTCGGGCGGTCAGTTCTTTTAGCTCCGCCTTGTAGCACTAACCTGCGCCAACGAACGACTATCCGCTCTCCTCTCTAATCACCTTCTGGAGAAGAAATCTCACTTGAATCACCATAAAGTCAAAATCGACATCCAATATTTCTTCGATCAGAACTCTATGAAATTCTACAAGAGAGACACTGAATACCCACCCTCGCATTGGTGATATGTTGGTAATAATGGTGATGTATACTATGCTGAATAAATACATCAGAGAAATAAGATAAGTAATTAAATCGAAAAACACCAAAGGTTCTCAAAAATTATGGACCGACCTAATAGATTTGTAATGCCTTCTCTCACTTCTTACCGTAACTCGGAGGCAGGGTCGGTCCTATCGTTGCTACTTTTCAAAAAGTTTTTACGACCCCCCTCCCTCATGAAATGTTTCATACGACCCCCTCTTTCAAAACAATTTTTACCCCAAAAAATTACCGTCGAGGGGGGGAGGGGGGTATATACTTACCATAAAACCGCAAAAATTCCCTACATTTCCCTACAATTTCCATGTATTTTACCCATATTTCAACTGCTCCATTTTCTAGGGGGGGGGGGGCTGCGCCGCTCCCCACTCATCACATGCAACTTCTTACAACCGAAGCAAGTACGACCCCCCTCTACAAACTCATCAAAATACGACCCCCCTCTACAAACTCATCAAAATACGACCCCCCCCGTTGCTACTTGTAGCAACATAGGGTTGACCCTGCTCGGAGGTCTGTCGTGGTCTCAAAATTCGGGTGTTCTATACCATAAAGTCCCTTCCTCATTACTGGAAAGGATCCTAGTTTTCCATGAGCGAATGGAGTGCTGACGATGATATTATTTTCCAGGGCCTTTGTGTGTACTGGTGTGCGTCGAACATGATGTCTCTTTTCTATGCGGGCGCATTTCGAACGCCAGCAATCCGAAAGTTGTTCAATATTCCGCCGTTGGTGCGTGATCCCACCACACAAAAGAAGAAAAATGCGTTTAAAGAGATTATGTCAGGTTATAAAGGTATGAATCCAGTGTTAACCCTGTTCGGCGTGTCGTACTCGCCAGATTCTCACAATTGATTTTGTTGCAGCTAAC